TGTATTCAAGTTCGCTCGTGTTAACGGTCTGTTACTTCGATCGTGTGTGTCATCCAAGCAACCAGCCAAAGTAGGTCAGTTTTTCCTTGTTGTTCCGGCTGATTGTCGTAACATCATTCTCTCTGTAGCTCACGAGAGCCCCCTAGCAGGGCACTTCTCTCATAGAAAGACATATATGAAGATTTCTGATCAATTTTACTGGCCAGGAATGGGAGCGGATATTAGGGCCTTTTGTAGGAGTTGTGATCGGTGTCAGCGTATGTCCGCCAAAGGTAGAGTCCGTCCTGTTCCTCTTAAACGCTTACCCATTATTACTGAACCATTTTCTCGGGTTGCCATAGATTTGGTTGGACCACTTTCACCCCCTTCCTCTGCGGGGCACAGGTATGTACTCACGTTAATTGATTTTGCCACCGGGTTTCCAGAAGCCTTGCCCTTGAAGGAAATTGATTCTATTTCTGTGGCCGAAGCATTGCTTGTGATCTTCTCTCGCGTAGGCATACCACGGGAAATTCTGTCCGATAGGGGGACTCAGTTTACCTCTCAGTTGATGGCGGAGCTTCACAAGTTGCTGGGAGTTAAGCCTTTATTTACCACCCCTTTTCACCCTAGTGGTAATGGACGAATTGAGAGAATGCATGGGCCCCTGAAAGCGTCACTGCGGAAATTGTGTGCCGACAAACCCAGGGAGTGGCACCGGTATCTTGTCCCCACTTTATTTGCGCTGAGAGAAATTCCTAGCGACCGGACCGGGTTCTCGGCGTTCGAGTTATTATACGGCCGAGCCGTGAGAGGCCCGCTCTCGGTGTTAAGGGATCTGTGGGAGGACACCAGTATAGAAGACGACGAGCGGACTCACTACCAGTATGTCCTTGAATTACGGGACAAACTTTGACAGTGTGCCAAGATCGCCGCGCAGAATGCTGACATTAGTAACACCAAATATAAGGCCTATTTCGACGTCAAATCACAAGATCGTCAATTTATTCCGGGGGATGAAGTGTTAGTGCTCTTGCCTGATAAGAAGAGCAAGTTGCTTGTTTCCTGGAATGGGCCTTACAAAGTCCTAGAGAAGCGGAGTAGGGTAAATTACGTCATTGACGAACCAAAGGGGCCTAAGTTATATCATGCTAATTTATTAAAGAAATACCATCGCAGGGCCCACCTTAACTTTGCTCATGTCCTAGATAACGATTCTAAGCTAGAGTCAGTCGAGGCACTACCCTGCGAGGAGTCGGGAATAATTCCGGCACCAGACTCGGATGATCTCGGTTGCCAGCTACCGATAACACCAGATGGCATAGTAGAATCCCCTTCGACTGACGATGGGCCCGCACTTAAACCTGGATTGGAGAGGAACCAACGTGCTGACATTGAGGACTTGATTACTAACTTTGAGGATGTATTCTCAAACTTCCCGGGATGCACATCCACTGTACACCATGACATCCTCCTCACAACCACTCAGCGTGTGCAGGCCAAAGTTTATCCTGTCCCTATTCATCTCCAGAGTTATTTTGAAGAAGAGGTCGACCGTCTACTTGAGCAGGGAATCATCCAATTGTCGTCGTCCCCTCACTGCTCTCCGGTGGTTATGGTGCATAAGCAGGATGGTACTTTTAGGATGGCCATTGACTACAGGGCATTAAATGCGGTAACTGTCTTTCATGCCGAGCCCGCCTGTTCTATGGAGGAAGACTTGCACAAGTTCTCAGGGGCGAAGTACTTCTCGGAGTTGGATCTATGTAAAGCTTACTACCAGGTACCCTTAACTGAACGCGCAAAACCACTAACTGCATTTCCTACTCGTAGAGGATTGATGGAATTCTGCCGGCTTCCTTTTGGGCTGGTGACTGCTTGTGCCACGTACATCAGGCTGATGCGCCTCGTCCTTGCCGGTTTGCCTAGAGTTTCTTTTTATTTTGACAACATTTTCATATATTCCTCAGATTGGCAAGAACATCTTGGCGACGTTAAAGCTGTCTTGGAGAGGTTAAGGGAACATACTTTGACGATAAAGCCATCTAAGTGCCGCTTTGGATTTGAGTCTATTCATTATCTTGGATTCGTGCTAGATGGTCGGCATCTTCGTCCCCAACCTGAGAAAATACAAGCCCTTTGTGAGGTGTGTCCTCCTACTACTAAGAAACTCCTCCGTAGTTTTCTTGGTATGATCTCTTTTTATAAAGCTTTCATTCCCCAGGCATCTGAGTATACCGGACCCTTATCTGACCTGCTAAGGAAAGGCCACCGGGAGCCTCTTGTCTGGAACGACGACCTGCTGGCCAGATTTAATCGTCTCAAGAATTCGCTATCCACGCAGCCCATCCTCAAACTGCCTGATCAACACTTAACCTTCGTTCTTAGGACGGACGCCTCCAGTCATGGCCTAGGAGCCGTCCTCCTCCAATATGTTCAGGCATGTCCTCACCCAGTGGCCTATGCCAGTAGGAAGTTACTAGATAGGGAGAGGAGGTACTCCACCATTGAACGTGAGTGTCTAGCCATTCTGGGGTTTTGAAATTTGATTATTACCTGAGAGGAAAAGAATTTATCCTTGAGGTAGACCACAAACCCTTGTTGTATTTAAATACATTCAAGGGGGCAAATGACAGATTGTTACAGTGGGCTCTAAGTCTGCAGGGGTATAGATTTCGTGTGGTCCACGTCGCCGGAAAGGACGACCTTGGGGCAGACCTTTTGAGCAGATCCACTGTGTAGCATTTGTTGTAAGATGATTATGCTTTGTGTACTAATCTTACGTTTTAATCTACCTTACAGTAGATTTTTGTTGGGGGAGCAGTGTCAGGGCGGAAACGATCCTCCGGCTGGTTACCGCTGCTAACTCGCTCGTTTGCTGGTGCAGACGACACTTGGGGTGGTTGGACGGAGGTGAGAACGGCAGCAACTATCTCCGCCACCGGCAGATTCAACCCAGCCGCCATACCGTCAGTATCTAGCTACCCTGCTGTCCGTCAAATTCTGGCTGTGATCTCATCATAGGTCCTGGACTCGTGGGCTGTGTTCCCAGACCTTCACCTATCAACTGCTAACTCTCTGGTCATCTACCACTACCGCATACCACGACCATCAGTTCATCACATTCAGTCGGTGCCCCGGTGTTCTCCTGCCTTTTCAAGACGTCGCTGAGTGTGGAGTCGAAGTGGACGTTTCGTTACCCTGAGTGTGCAACACCGTGTTCCAGAACCTTCCCCCAGGGCCACTGCCGTAGGAAAATATTTGTTCATGGTTTGATTCTATAATTGTTTGATTCTATTAATTGCTGACTCCCCTGTATTGTTCGATTCTATCAATTGTTGACTCCATTTAATTGTTTGAATCCATTAATTGCTGACTCCCATTATTTGTTTGATTCCTTTAAGTGTTTGCTTCCTTTAATTGTTTGACTCCCGTAATTATTTGATGTTTGTTGAGTGGTGTCAGAATTTTGTGTTATATTTTTATAGTAAAGAGATGCCAATCTCAAACGATTGTTTGTTATTCCTCGGAAAACCATGGTCCTTGACTTTCCTTTATTAAGATCCTGATTAGCCTGGTAAGGGATTTCTATCCCTAAGTCCCAGGCCTTTACATTCAGGAGGAAACTTAACACATCAAATAAAACCCCAGATTCAGCAAATAAATAACTACAGTATCATGGGCTAGGATATCAGATAATAGGGGTATTTGATACTAAACTATTGTACTACAAGATAAGGTATTTACAAAAAATGCTGATAGGCAAAGAAGTAAAAAAAAATTGCACTGCTTTTCATCTTCAACCCCATTTTATAGACATTTTCCACGCATGTGTGGCTTAACTGTAATTACCTGATGACAAGGGTATACCAGTTTTCATGAGACATACAGGTACGCCTCGACTTACGACCTACTCGACTTATGACCATGCAACCGCCGCAGTCGTATAAAATATTTTTCAAATTACGTATTTTCGAGTCCAGACGTTAGTGATCGAACTATGTACTGACAAAATTTTCGTTTGTAATTCCCTTTAAAGTGGCTGGCAAGTGTAAAAGTGAGAGTTCTCGTGGTGCAGAGAAGAAAAAGACACCCATTTTAGATTTTCTAGTAATTATTTTCGCATTTTCGACCTGTCGTCGGCCCCTAACCCCGTCGTAAGTCGAGGACTGACTGTATTTTAAACATAAATTCAATTTGAAAGAGCTATTCTATAACCTTCAAATCAAATATCAGCATTCTCACTGTATTTAGAAAAAATACTGGCAACATTCCTTCCTATTCATTAACCCATAACAGACAAGTGCTGTCAAAAGACTGAAGCTCACCTTCTGGTGTACTTGCACTTTGTACAAGCAGGCTAAAAATTATACCGGGGTACTTGTCACTATGTCTGGAGAAAATAAACCACTTACAGGTATTTACCGATTTAAGATCATCCGTTTTACGATAATCCACGTTAACATTAATTAGGTTTTAACACTCTCTCACTATATACGTTAGGAAAAATCCACACTAAAAATAGTTATCATTAGGTTAACTCACTGACGCGGAATGTAAACACTGGGGAAGCGCATCTTTCCCTTCACTTATTAAATCCAAATTGGCCAATATGCTCTAATTACTTTCCCATATATCATGCAGCTCCACTTACCTGCGTCCCATCTCATGGCCACCATGCTAACTACTGTACAGTTCAGAGCTTTGTTTCAACATGATCGCATCTGGCCTCACTCGTGTAACGAAAGATATCATTAATAATCGTTGCATAACCTTGTGATTGCTGTGATACTTTGCCATTATTGGTGATTGGAAAACATTATTGTTAAAATTTTGCTGACCGAGGTGATCAGTGTAATGTAACTGTTTCTTTGAAAACATCATTGTTCCATCAACAAGAGTTCCCTAGCCTTGGAGGGGACATGTGATGATGACCAAGCTTGTTATTATTAATGTGGTCAGTGTTGTTAAATTTTTCCTGTATTTATTTAATTATTGAAGTATTATTATTTCTGGATTACAGGTAGTTCTGCTATAACGCGATAATTGTGTTCTTGTAAGATATCGTGTTATAGAAAATCGCGTAATAGAAATAACAGGGCTTATGGAGAAAATAGGGTTAGGTGCAGATTACTCCAAATCGAAAAAAAATTTCGTACAGTATTACCCCGCCTAACGCGGTTTCACTTAACGCGGTTTATCATATACGCGGTGCCTCGCCAGAGCTGAACTTTCACTTAACATGGATTTTTTCCACATATACGCGGTGAGTGTCCGGCTCGAGACGAGACGCTATTTTTAGATTTGCCCCACCCGCCACCCTGCCTGACTGCCTGTTTTAGCTCATAAAATTCATACAAATTACCCGGCCAGAATATAATTTACATTGCTGGAATTCTTATAATTTGGTGATCATTTTGAATATAAACATCATATTTTTGCATTAGACATACAAATTTTAGATAACAATTTTTCTCAAATTAACTATGTTATCTTTTGTGCAAAATATATGACATTTATATTCAAAATATTCCTGGTCTTACAAGGAATCCAGCAATGTCAATTATATTATCCTAACTTTAGTTTGAGGTATTATTTATTAAAATTTAGTGGTTATCCCACACATCTCCTTGGGACGGTTGGTGGGGGGTGGGGAGGAGGGAGGGACCGACCGACCATCTGTTACCCTGTGAAGAATTATTTTTTTTTTTATTAACTGAAGATATTTGTTTTAGCTCATAAAATTCATACAAATTATCCGGTCTGAATATAATTTACATTGCTGGAATTCTTATAATTTGATGATCATTTTGAATATAAACATCATATTTTTGCATTAGACATACAAATTTTAGATAAAAATTTTTCTCAAATTAACTATGTTATCTTTTGTGCAAAATATATGACATTTATATTCAAAATATTCCTGGTCTTACAAGGAATCCAGCAATGTCAATTGTATTATCCTAACTTTAGTTTGAGGTATTATTTATTAAAATTTAGTGGTTTCCCCCAAAAATTTCTCTGAGAGGGAAGAGCCGGCAGTGTAGTGTGAGAGGGGGAGGGAGTTGAGTCCATTATTTGAATGGACATTAACTTGGCGACTGTACTTCTCTATTTCTCTTAAGTATTAATTGTGTGCATGTACCATCATAAAATTAAGATGTTATTTTTACTACAACATAGGTATGTGCCTTCAAAAAGTGGAGTTTGGGGGTCGGGCCGGTTTCTATTGGAATTAATCCCATATGTTCTGTTGTTCACTTAACGCGGATTTCACTTAACGCGGGACCCTCTGGGTTCAATTGACCGCGTTAAGTGGGGTACAACTGTAGTTAGCCTAACACAAAGGATAGCACAGTCTAAATAAATGTTACATTCATATCTAATAATGAAATCATACAGTAAATGTTACACTTTACCTTGAAAAAATATGAATTTAACTTGATGGGGGAGAAGGTTAATGTTGAGGAGTCATGCAGACAGGGTTTGACAATTGTCATCGTCATCATCATCATCAGTATCATCATCAGGTGCAGTTTTGGTTGCATGGGAGGGAAGAAAAAAACGTCTAATTCCAGAAGTGGGCACTTGCTTCGTCGGCACTTGCGGCTTCACCACATAACTTTACATTATGAAAAGCATAGCGGGTCTTAAAACCAGAAAACCATCCACTAGCACTAAAGGCAACCACATCATCAGGATTTTCAGCTTTTTTCTTTAGGTCCTCATATATTGACAAGGCTTTCTCTTTAATGGTGAGGAAGCTGGTCCCAGATCGCTTTTTCGTTTGATCTTCTATCCAAACACTTAGAAGCCATTCCATCTCCTCAAGTTCCTTTGGCCGTGATCTTACACTTTTGCTAGCTCCCTTGGTTTTTCCAGCAACACAGCTTGCTTTAATCTTTTCTGCATTGGCTCTAATGGTACGCAAAGTAGACTCCTTTATTCCCGTTGCACGCACAATATCACATGTTCTTTCCTTATTTTCAAAACGCTTGACAACATCAAGCTTGCCTTCAAGTGTTATAGCCTTTCTATTACGATCACCACCAGAAATGCGATCACCAGAATGCTTCCCGGAGATATTCTTCTTTTCCATAGTCACAAAATTGGGGAAACAGTAAATCAGAAAGCACTGAGGACGCTTAAAAATTTCTCACGTCTAGCAAAGTGAACGTGTGGAGTAAAGAGAGCGCAGGTCTAAAACGCTACGTATTTTGTTTTTCTCTCTTAGTTAAAATTTTACATTTTACATATACTGTACAGGTATACTGTATACATAAATATTACATAAATTATTTCTGCAATTGTTCACAAACAAAACACATAAATCAATTGAACATGTGATGTCAAACGTGAACTGTAAACACTGCATAACCCCGCGCCAAGCCACAGCACTGTACATACTGTACAGTACACTTTAAACACTTACGTATTTAGTTTTTCTTTTATTTAAATTTTTACAATTTACATATATATATATATATATACCTGTATAAGTAAATTGTAATTTACATA